TCCTCTCTTGCAATTGTTAAACAATAGGTGTCCCCCCATGCTTCAAACCCAGCAAGCACAATGTAGAAAAGAGTTTAAGTCCTTCCTAATGAGAAGCAGTGAGGAATCCTGCTGGCAAGTCAGCCCCTTGAGAACAGGCTGTTCTCTGCACTCAGATGTTTCATAGATCCAAGTCTTACTTTCCCATTCCTCACAATAAATACCTTAACCAGGTAGAGTTTTCTGCTCTGAAATGCTGGGAAGACCAGAACTGTAACCACTTCAAAACTTAAAACAGAGGGTGTATCTCTGGTTGTGTATGGGGATTGTAAAAATAACCAGGCAATGCACCATTGATGTTATCCAATGAGAAATCTTTAATTTGAGAGCAAAAGAGTTGTCTCTTAAAAACAAAACAACAAAACCAAAAAATCAAACACACCTCCCCAACCCCAGAATGAAAAAAACAAAGCAGTTGCATCTGTCTTAGCAGTGCCATGTCCAAAGCAGTCTGGCATCTGGCTTGGCTCTGCTGGGATCATAGCAGAGGAGCTGACTTGAGCCAACGAAAACTTGAGTTCCTGGATTGCCTTTTAATCGTGTATTCTTACAACGATTAGGGATTTGTAGTCTTGCTCTTGAAAAAGGGTCTTCATCATAAATACGTGTAGTTAAAGTGTGATACCATGCTGAGTTAACACTCAAATTTGTGCTATGCCCTGAAGCCCTTGGACTCTGAAGCAGTGAAATTACACTACAAGCTGTTGCCGAGGGAGGAGACAAATGATTTCGTTTATGGAGAGAACAAGAGTGGTGTGACTGTGAACCAGCTCCTGGGGAGCTTGGGGGAACTCTTCATGGACATGGTGCTACTGCAGAGGAACTGCTTTCCCCTCTGGGCTTCTTTCTTCCTCTGGGATCTGCAAAGCCTCAGAGCTCTACTCTTTGTAGTCCACTCTAGTATCCCAGCAGGCTGCTGGAGGGCCACTTTCAGCATAGCACACAAACATACACTTCATTTAAGTATATTCTTCTTAGTCACGTGAAGTCACTGGTATTCCTCGGAAGCTAAGCTTAAATACACAGTTCGCGCTTTGGATTGGGTTGGATTGGAGACCAAAGAGAGAACTCATATTTTTGTCAGCTCTGAATCAAACAATTCCTGGGGAATTAAACATTTAATAAGAGCTAATGAACACAAATCTTACACAGCAAAGCTATTTCTCCTGCAGGCTGAGGCAAACAAATATATAAGATGAAGAATACATGGGAAAAGAGAATGGCCAAATTATTCTTAGTAAATGTAAGCTAATGTAGCCATCAAAGGCACCAGATTGCAGAAAATATCAGGTGAGGAGTTTGAAAATATGGTATTGCTGTGCTGGTATTTATATTTCTCAGAGTAAAAAAAGGATGCTGCTGCAGAGGGATTTTTTGCTAAAATTCAAACTGCACCAGTACTTCACTTAAACCAGCAGCCACTTTCAGTACCATGGCTTCACTGTTTCAGTTGCACAATCTGACCATAACTGATTGCATGCAGTTATTTGAAATGCAACTTTTCTTGTTGTCAATTACTTTGTTTACTTGTGTAAACAGTACTGCCTCCCCTCATGGACATAAGGGCAGATTAACGGCAGCAATTACTAAGCAGATGTCTCCAAGTGAATAACCATTTCTTAGAAGCAGATTATCTTCTGCATTGGCATAAGGGAAGGGGATTCAAAGCAGGTGCTGCTGTCATCCCAAAGTGATGTGAGCAGTCTGGGGCTCAGCAGAGGGCTGTGTAGGTCCCGAATCACCCATCTGCAGGGCGATAATCATTGACCTACTTGAGATCAGTGCTGAGAGCTGTTTGGCACTTAATTCCTAAAAGCTGCCACTAGTGACTGAACAGCTCTCAGCTCTACCTGCACTTCTGTTCATTGTTTTTTCTGTTCCCAAGAAATCGAAGGCTGTGCTTTCAAGAGAGCTCAACACCCAGACTGAGAGCCTGTGTTACCCAATAGCTCTGTTCCCTCTGAATTGCCCAAAAGGTGCACTCAACACTAAGTGCTAAGCTTATTTAGGCAGTCTTTGAACTTGAGTGGAGGTGGGGGGTCTTTACTAATCCAGTTGTACTGCCAGCACTAAATATGTTCAGAGCAGTCCTTTGGTGCCCTTGAAGCCTCTCCTGGCATATACTGTTTTTCAGCTGAGCAATCAGCTTGCAGCCTATCCAGAGAAGCCACTATTGGCTTTTTGATTGTGGCAAGATCTTGCCAGTATGTGAGAACACGTCTACATGCAGAAGAGATGTGGCTGTGTCCTGTTTCATTGGACACTTTCAAATCAGATGACTGGATTTCAGAGGCCACCCTTTTGAAATGTTCTGAGAGACAAGACAGAGACCTGGTTTTCTTTGTGTGGACAAGTCATGGCATTGCCTCCACTCCTGAAAAAGAATGCCCGTGCATCCCAGAACAGGGAGTGGTGACCATGAGGCAGGCAGAGACTTTATTTCTCCCACTATCACTGAATAAGCTGATATAGGATGGGTTTTTTTCCATAGGCACAGGACACTCATCTACTACAGTGAAATAGTTTTGCCTTTGGTGTTGAATCACTCTCAGACCCACCTCATAAACTGCTGACTGTCTTGCTCAAGAGGCCTTTATTTTTTGAGTTCCTGCGACTCATATGAATGTGTGCAAACCCTGCATTTGGTTCTGGCTGCCAGTTTGACAGAGGAAATCTGGAAAACCTAACATTGATTTATGACTGATGTATTTTAAGAAGGAGTCAAAAAGCAGATTAAAAAGGCATTTAGAGTGTATTGGGTTTGAGATATTTCAGCCCTGCAGGAACCAGCCAAAGGCTGTTATCTTTAGACAAGTGCAGATAGCAGGCCTGGAGGGGAGGCACTCAGATAATGTGCAAGGGGCTGCCACAATGGAGGTTTTTCTGGGAAGTTCAACCAAACTCTGGAAGTGCATTCAGAGAATAGCCCTGTGTACATGTTAGGAATTGCAAAGTGGGGAAATCTCCACATTTCAAGATACTCTTTCCTCTTGAGAACAGAAACCCTTGAGTTAATTTTTGTGCCATGAAAACTTCCCTGGGGACACGGCCCACAGCAACATTATCCATTGATGTGGGCCATCCAGCTTCCATCTGCCATTTCTGTTGTCCATGTTTTTATGGGCTTGATCCTACAAATCTTACCAGTGAAATCAATGGGGCATTTTATCTTTCAGTCCCACAGGCACAGAGCTCTCCATATAACTCTCCAACTGGATAGTGGCCTAGCTGACTGTACTTCACAGGATCTCTGCGGCCATATAGGTGGCAAGAAGTTTTGGTTGGAGGCTACAGAACATTTATTTGAAGGATTTTCTGCACATATGCACATATTGTAATGGCTAGAGTTGTAAAAGTGCAACTTTCATGTTTGACAACTATATTTTTGAATGGTGAAAGAGAGATGAGGGATGTCAAGAAAAAGGGCACGGGATGTAGCAGTTATCTGGAGAAATTAGTAAGACTAGTATCATAAAAAGCACACCAGTCCTGAATGAAATTGAAACATAGAGAAAAAGGCAGATGAAAATATGTTGGATATTGCTCAAATATCAACCACAAAAGAAGATGCTAAACCACTATTTTTCTAGTCATACTGATGGCACACAGTATTACAAACCTTTGCAATGTTATAGTAAGTCTCATTCTGCTTGGTAAGTTCTTTAATTACCAGCTTCTCTGTTTATCTGGTTATTCATAAATTTCTGTTTCCTATTTTTTAAAAAAGCACCTCTGATTGAGCAAGGTAGTTGCACCCTACAGAAACAAACAGACAAAATGCAGCTTTATTTCATGAACCAGGTGCCCTTTATTCATCAACTGTAGAACATAATTTTTTTACCTAGACTTTTTTTTCTCCTAATAATTGCTTTGTTTCAAGCCCTGATTTTGTGAGGTTTGGACTGGCAATAGTCAACAAATGTAGTTTGTTTCTGTTTGGGTGTCTGCAGGTGATTTTGGTGGTGTTCAGTCTGGGGCTTTGAGCAGCCTGGTCTAGTGGAAGGTATCCCTGTCCATGGCAGGAGGGTTGGAGTGAAATGATCTTCGGGGTCCCTTCTAGCCCAAGCCATTCTATGATTATTTCTCACTACAAGAACGACCCCAATGTCCTGTCAGAGTTGACAGCTCAGCTTGTTGCCAGCTGTAGGGATTTTTCCATGCTGGATATTGCTGGTATGTAGGCAGCCTTTCCAGTCACCAGACAAACCCTTTCCATTACAAGGCAAGCTGTGGATATTCAGGCGCAAAACTTCCTCCTCTCTCAGCCTAACAACTCCATGAAGCCTTAAATTTCACCGGAGCTGCCCCCCCTCATGCTATATTAAGTCCTGTCTTTCCAAACTTAGGGTTCCTGATGGGACGAGGGAGATAATAGCGGTGTTTACGGGAGCAGACGGAAAGCGAAGCCATCCGTCTGGGAAGCTGCCTCGGCCCCTCGAAGCGTAGGTGAGGCAACACCAGCGCTGCGGGGGCAGAGGTAGGAAATTACTCAACGTGTTTTGTGCTGGGAACAACCCCGGCTGCTTAAAATGCTCTGTGGCTTTTATCTTCCCTTCGCAGTACAGGGAAATAAACACAAGAATAACCCGCGAGGAGGCAGAGTCTGGAAAAAGCCTCCAACTTCCCGTGCGGGAAAGCATCCTCCTACTTTTCCTCCACTTTGTCCCCCTCGCTCCCTGACCCCGTGGAAGTCCCCGGCGAACTCCGCCGGGCCCGGAGGGTCCCG